GGCCCCCCCCCCCTTTTTTTTTTAAGTAAGGCTCTACAGGATCTCACTACGAAGATCTGGACTCATAGTGTTCAGCCTCCCAAGAGCTGGGATTACAAGCATGCTCCACCATGCCCAGTCTTAATCACTGTCTCAGCATGCCCCACAGGCAGGGCCACCACAGCAGGCCAGGGATTGAACCCCAGCCCCTGGATCTGCCTAAGCAATCCACTGAGCTATTTGGCCTGCCCTCCTCTTGTTTTCTTGAAATGTCATGTCATTTCTCGGAGTGGGCCCAGCTCCTTCCCTTTTTTTTTTTTTTTTTTTTTTTTTTTTTTTATGGTACCAGGGATTGAACTCAAGACCCTGCACTTGCCAGGCAAGTGCTTATTCTACTGAGCTATCTCCCCAGCCCCTCCTTCCCTCTCTGAACAGTGTCTGCACCCCAGAGCCCTTCAGACAGGACAGCGTGGGCCTGGACACAGTATAACGGAGAAGGTAGCTCCTAGAGCCTGCTCTGCCTCCCTGCCAATGGATTGCTGTCCGGCTGCTGGGGAAAAACGAGGCTGCCTGGTTCCGACACCGTGCTCATCGATGCCTTGGGCAGGGAGAGGCGGGAGAGACCCACACAGGCGCACTGCGGGCCCCAAGCCATCCATGCGGGGGTGTGAGGTGGGAGAGGCCCACACAGGCGCATGCTGCGGCCCGATCCATGCAGGGGTGTGAGCAGGCGTGCAGCATGCTTGGGCTCTAGGTTGATCCCCACGTAGCACAGCAAGAAACCATGTTCTAAAGAAGCCAAGTGGGGCTGGTGAGATGACTCAGCACCTACTTAGAACAAGCTTAGCAAAGCATGGGGACTGCGGTTCAATCCCCCAGCACCACATGCCAGCCAGCCCCTCTCCCTGGTGGGCTGAGCTGGCCACACACACACACACAAATAAATAAATTAATTAATTAATTAATTAATTTTTTAAAAAAAAGCCAAGCTTTGTGGCACATGTCAGTAATCCCTCACCCATTTATGTAGTCATTTATTTTTGAGACAGGGTTCCATTAAACCACTGAATTGGAGCCGGGGAAATGGCTCAGTACAATAAGCGCTTGCCTGGCAAATGCAAGGGCCTGAGTTCAATCCCCAGTTCCACCAAAAAAAAGAAGGAAAAAAAAAAAACCTTGAGTTGCCCAGTCTGGTTACTCAAACTTGTGATCCTCCTGCCTCAGCCTCCCAGAGTGCTGGGACCATCAGTGTGCGCCACCACACCTGGCTTCACTCACACCTATTTTCTGAGCACTTTTTAATGTTTCGAGCACCACACTGGGAAGGGAC